TTGGGGGGAACTCACGTTTTAATGTGTACGCGGCCACGTGATCGTTATTGGAGACGTTGTGAGTTTCCTTAAGAAACGAGAAAGAGGCGACGGATGAGTCTTTTAAAGCTGATGTCTAAAAATTAGAAGTATTTAGAAGAGCTTCATTCCAAAATGATAAATATGCAGCAGAGCCAAATCCTGCTGGATGGACGTCTGCGTCTTTGGCTTCCCGTCTCCGGACTGGACGGCCTTTTCTTTCACGCGTCGGGCGACGTTCAGATCGATGGAGGCGGAGCGGCCGCTGGCTTTGAGCCTCGTGGAGGCCGACGCGTCAGCGTGGAGGTGCAGAGGCTTCTGTTCCGCTCACACGCTACTTTGTTTACTGGTTTGTTCCCTGCAGCAGGAAAAGCTGCTGGTATTTCGTGTCTGAGATTCGTCCACCGTGCTGAGTCAGCGTGGGATTGACCTTTAACCCCACAGGCTCGTCACCATCAGCGTGTTGCTACTGACCTCTGACCTCTACTGATGCAGCGGCGTACTCCTCCGCTCTCCACCCAGCGAGGGGATCCGACCAGGCAGAGTTTCTTCAGCTCGTTTGTTATCTTCTCCATGTGTGACCTTCACTAAAGGCTCAGTGGTTGTGGAGAGAAGAACCCGTTTAAGTTGATTTGGTCATCAAAGCGTTTGGTTCTGCAAGCTATTACCTCGTCACGAGCTTCTTACAGAGCTTCTGTCACCTGACTGTCGTCATAACTTTGTGTAGAATGAGTCACTTGGACACGGAGGAGGTCCTGAGGCCGTCCAGGTACCAAGAAGAGGCCTTCAACCCTTCAGGGTGTCTGAAAGGGAGACGTGAAGATTTGGATCAGTGGTGAAAAAGGTCTGAACCTGAGAACAGAAACATTAAACCGTTATTTCAGGTCACTTTCTCTCTGCATGTGAGCCTCAGATGCAGTTTGATGGACTTTACTCGCCACCAGCTTCCACATCAAGAGGCTCAACCTTCTTTCCATGAAACAGAAACAGATAAAATACCGTTCTCCCAAACGTTCCCCAAGCTGATCAAATGGAGTCTGTATAACACGCTCAGCGTGCATCAATGTCTGTTACAGAATATACAGCTTCATGAGCTCATCCTCATCATCTATTTCTCTTTGGAAATCAGTGTTTTAAATCTCATTTCCTTGTTTTCTGTTTCCTACTGTTGGTGTTTCCTCCCCAGTGGAAGAAATGACTGTGGTCAAACGTGTGTGGTGGAAATATAAGATCAGTATTAATCAACACTGAGACTCCTCAGTAATCAACTGAGCCGACAAAAATTACGTATGAAATTTAAAGACAGGAAATGATTCCATCAGTTAAATTCATCTTTACAAGGTAACTTTGTTTATCGTCTAGAGAAGTAAAGAAGCGAAACAACGAGTTTATTCTAATGGACAGAAACACACATTCAAAGTCCTAAAAGTCTGAAGAATTCTAACTTCAAACCTCCTCAAAAGAGCGGGAAAACGTAACGGGCCGAAAAGGCCTTTTCCACCCGATAAACGCTGCGTGTTGACTTGGTTTAGAGGAGTTACACACTGTTGGTGAGGCAGGAGACGGAGGGAAGGAGACGGAGGGAAGGAGACATCGCGTGGCCTTAAGACACCAGCGCAGCTCGTCCCTCGTCCAGCTGCTCTCTGCAACATCTGCACGAGGGAGCAGGATTGATGTTCGGCTTGGCGTCGCTGGGCGTGAGGACGCTGATCGGGACGTCCTGAAGGACTCGTGTTGCTCGTGAGGACGTGGAGGTGTGAGGACGTGTTTCCATCAGCATTTATTCTCCACGCTGCAACTCTTTACTTTATCCCCATGTATTGTTCACAGGTGGATTATGTTCATGTTGATTTACTGCTTTTCCCTTTTATTCGAGGAAAATTCAAATGTCCTTTTAATGTCATTTAACGTTTGTTTGAACATATTGTTTAATTTTCTTTTTTAAATGTATGTAATTATTTTTCCACAGTGTGACAGAAAATAAAAAGACAACAGCAGGAAATGTTCCTTTATTTGTCATTTATTTATCATCAGGAAACAAAAGAGTCAGATTTTGTATTTTCAGACTATTTGTGTTTCATCTCTGGAGTTTGATCCGTATTATTTATTCAGATCAAACGGTTTCTGAGCCGAGGGGGGAGGGTGGACGTCTGTGACGTGCGTCTGTGACGTGTGTTGTGGCTCTGTGTTCTGTGTCTGTGTTGTGTTGTGTTTCTGTATCGTGTGTGTTGTGTCGTGTCCGTGTCCTGTGTCTGTGTTGTGTGTGTTGTGTTGTGTCTGTGTTGTGTGTTTTGTGTCTGTGTTGTGTTGTGTCTGTGTTGTGTGTTTTGTGTCTGTGTTGTGTGTCTGTGTTGTGTGTTGTGTTCTGTGTTGTGTCTGTGTTGTGTGTCTGTGTTGTGTGTGTGGATCGTGACATTTAAAACTCATGTGTCTTTTTCTCTTCTTCTTTGTCTCTTTGTCTCTTTTCCTGTCACTCTTTTTAATGTGAAATATTGTCCCGATGTCCTCTGGACGTCTTTCCTTCCTGCCGTCCTCGGTTCTCCTCGAGTCTCTTTGTTCTTTCCTCAAATCATCCCGTCCATCCTTCTCTCTCGTTAACACTGTTTCCTTTCCTCTTTGCCTCCTTCTCCTCTCCTCTCCTCCCTCACTTATCTTCTCCTCTTCTTTCCTTTCCTCAGTCCATCCTCTCTCCTGTCCTCTCATCCTCTCTCCTTAGTCCATCCTCTCTCCTGTCCTCTCCTCTTCTCTCCTCAGTCCATCTCCTTTCCTGAGTCCTCCATCACATCTTCTCCTCTCCTCATGTCTTCTCCTCAGCCATGCAGTCACTTTTCCTCCTCTACTTCTTCTCTCCTCTCCTGTTTTGCCTCCTATCTCCTACCACCTCCCTTCCTCTCCTCTCCATCTCTCTCTCCCTCTTCTGTGTCCTCCTTTCAAAATGTATCCTCTCCTCCCCTCCTACATCCTCTACAGTCTATTTCCTCTTTCCTCACCTCTCTCACCCTTTGTCCCCTTTTTTCTCCCCCATTCCAGCAGTTCTCGTGTCCCTTTCTTCTGTCTTATTGGTTGCATTTGATTCTTTTGTTCCCTCGTTTCCTTCTTGACGTCTCCTCACCGCTCCGCTCTTTTTTCCTCCTGTCCTCAAATTCACGCATCGCTTCCAATTCACCTTTTCATTCTTCAGACCTTCCCCCTCTCTGCAACCATCTTACTCGTCTTTGTCTCATTTCTCCTCACCGTTGACCTCCTCAGTCCTTCTCTCCTCTAAAGGACAGGGGGAGAAAATGAGGACAAAGCCAAAAAGAAATAAGAGACATCTGGAAAAGAAAGAGCAGGACAGAAGACAGTCTCTCGTCTTTACTCAGTGTGTAACAGTGATCATCTTCTCCTCTTTCCTTCTGCTCTCATTGAGGAATAATGTCTGTGTAGCGGGTACAAATATGTACTACGGCTTTAAGACTCACGTAGCGGAGCGATAGAAGTGTTTGGGCTCCACGGGCGCGTCAAGTGTTTTTCCCGGTAAGGAATATTGTCAAGTGGTCGTATCGAGTGACACGTTCCGAACCAGTAACGCGGTTACGTTTGGGGTTTTGTTTTAATTGATAGTGTGAGCGCCGAAGTCGGGCTGCATTAGATTAAAGTGACACGTTTAAACCAGTAACGCGGTTACGTTTGGGTTTACGTTTCCTCGGATAGCGCGAGCGCCGAAGTCGTGCGGCGTTAGAGTGAAGTTAAAGTTAACTGTTAACTGCATTTAGCTGGGGGCTAGATGGCGGTGCACCGATGAAGATGACTGGTGGAGTGTTCAGGAAGAGCAAGCCGGGACATCAACATCTCGAGGTGCAACGTGCTAAAAGCTCTGTCCGCCTCTCCCCACTCCGTGCGCGAGCTGCGCGGGAAAGGGGGCGATTGACGTGAGGACAACACGTTTCATTGGAGGTTTACCCTGCCAGCCATCGGACGTCCCACGACGTGTGACCTCTGCGGTTGTATGGGTAATCACTGCACCACATTTCAACACACTGATCCATGAACCAGCAGGCGGCGTGTGCAGCCGAACAGAACCGTCTGTGAACTGAACGAACTAGCCGCGCTATGCGTCCACACACACACACACACACACACACACACACAACCAAGACGCTAACAGCACCTACTGAACTGAACAGCAACGGAGCTGACACTAACACGTACACACACACACACGCACCCACACACACCGGAGTGACCCGGTTAGCTCATGCGGACTGGCACAGCAGACGCTGAGTAACTGTTTATTTTGCCATCTAAAGTAAGTTTATTGAAATGTGAATGTGAATGTGAAATGCCTTTAGAAGTGAGCTATATTCTCTGTTAAGTTTACTGTTCTGGTTAAAGGGAGCCATTTTTAGTTGTCATAAGGGTGAACAGTGCTTCCCCAGGTTCCATGAGAACTTCCAATAGACGGGTCAAGTTAAGCACCCAATGTTTGATGATGAGGTGAAACCGAGGTATTGAGTAGCCATTCGTGAGGTTTCTAGGTGACTATATTAATGAAACCATTCCATATAACTGTCTCGTATTTGAATATGTTTTCCTTGTGCTCTGTGTTAATCCTTGAGTAATAGAGGGAATAACAGCTGTACGTGTTTGTTTAACTTAGTCTAGTATATTGGGCTGCTTATCCGGGGTAGGGGCGCCTCACCTGTTTAGCTAGACCTAGGTAGAGTGGGGGGGGTTACCTCACGCACCCCACACACACTTCAGACGACCACCTACTGAAGCCCACTTTGCCCCGTCTAAGAAGCTACGGTCCAGTCTAGCTGCTAAATAGTAAACAACCTGTTCACTCACCTGAGCATCGAGGCCACAGGCGTTGAGTGTGGGGGACCCAGATCCTGTCCCACTCAGTCCTCCCCAGAGTAAGTGTTTTATAACCCCTATAAGGCGGCGGTAATAATTCCGACCGCTACATCTGGAACAACCTTCATCACTAACTCACTAAGGTGAAGATGGTGGTGTTCTCTGTGGGTCTGATCATCATGGTGTCTGCCGTCATCACTGTTCACCTCGTGGACTTCAAGAAGCACCAACAAAGAAATGGATGTCAAACACGTCACGCTGCCCGGGAGGAAAGCTCCCACTTAAAGGTCACCTTCTAAACCCGTGATGATGTTCCACTGACTCACAGCTGGTGGCAGCAACACACCAGGGGCCTGTTTCAGAAAGGACGTTAAGTGAAAACTCTGAGTATGTTAACCCTGAAATGAGGGAAACTCTTGAGTTTTCTGTTTCAGATTTGGAGGTATGTTAAACCTGAGAAAGCAGAGTAAGTCAAGCCTGTTTCAGAAAGAGAGGTAACTTATACTCAGAGTCAGTTACCATGGCAACTTACTCTGTGAACCTAACCTGGTCGGGAGCAGGTTTTCTTCGGGAAACCCAGAGTTTATTTCGTCTCCTCCCCTTTTTTAAAGAGGAAGTGGTATTTAATCACCTCATTCATTCTTTCGGTATTCATTCATTGCGCACATTTCAGTCACGCAGAGCGCATCAAATCAAGTGAATGAAATGGCATGTCCTTTTATGGACGATCCTGTGGATGAAGAGGCTGCATTAATCCGTAGGGAGTTGCATTTACGTCGGGAGAGGATTTTGAGACCCAGAGTGGATTTTTTGTCATATCCATATTCATTTTTATTTGAGCGGTACCGTTTTTCTTTACAGTCAATAAGATACATCCATAATCTCATCCATCCTTACATCAGAAACATCAGCCATCGCGGCCGTGCTCTAACATCCGAGCAGATGCTTTGCGTTGCATTACGTTTCTTTGCAAATGGTAGTTTTCTGTATAACATTGGGGATGCAGAACATATCAGTAAGGCTACTGTTTGCAGAGTTGTAAGGAAAGTGTGCCTCGCTCTTAAGCGCTTTCTCCGAATTTTTGTGCTGTTTCCTGGGCACAAACCCGTGAGAGCCATCAAAGAGGAGTTTCACAGGATTGCAGGTCAGTGATGTATAAATCGGTTTAAATGAGGCTAACCTGATAAATGACGTTCAGTTAAGAGCATATTGCTGCGACCCCTGGAAGTAAACTAATAATAGAATTCCTTTTAGGATTTCCGAATGTGGTTGGATGCATTGATGGCACACATATTCCCATCATTGCACCTTCCGAAAATGAAGCGGACTATGTCAACAGGAGGTCCATCCACAGTATTAATGTGCAGGTACACTGAAAGCCTACTGTTTCTAATGGTCAAAGACTACATCACAATACTATAACATGTCTCATTCTTTGCATTGTCAAGATCATATGTGATGCTGCACATCTCATTACAAATGTGGAGGCCAAGTGGCCCGGTTCTGTTCATGACTCACGAATGTATCGTGAGTCAACGCTGAGCAACAGACTGGAAACTGGTAAGTAAATGCATGTATTTCAATGTATGCACTACACACTTACTGGGGAACTTCTATGCAGCTCTAAAGCAATGTGAACTTTCTTACAGGAGAGATTGATGGCTTTCTGCTGGGAGATAGGGGTTACCCATGCCGACCAACACTAATTACCCCTTACCCAGAACCTGAACCAGGCCCCCAGCGCCGCTTCAATGTGGCACACTGCAGGACGAGAGCCCGGGTGGAGATGACCATAGGCCTGTTGAAAGCACGTTTCCAGTGCCTACGTCACCTCAGGGTAACCCCTGAAAGGGCCTGCGACATTATTGTGGCATGTGTTGTTCTCCATAATATTGCCATAATTAGAGGGGAGCAACACCCTGCCCTACAAATACAAGACCCAGAGGAAGACCCCATCAACCCGGCAGATTTCCAGGAGGGAAGGGTAGTCCGGGATATGATATGCCGAAATGTCTTCACAGATTAATACACATTATATCCACCATCACAACCAACCAACCACAAAATAAAATAAAAATGAATAAACACAAAATCACAGCAATTTATATGGTGTTCTTTATTTCCTAAACATAAAAAAAATAAATAGAATTTAATATATTTTCAATACTTCACCTGTGACCATGCACTCACCTCTAGCTTTAGTTTCAGAATCTCAATTTCCAGATCTGCCTTTTGGATCTGGCGGTCCAAGTATACAAGTTCTTTGCTGTTTTTTTCTATCTTTTTAATAAGAAGAAGTCTATATAACTCCTTAACTGGCAACTGAAAATACAGTAGATTACAGTTACATCATGTAGTTCTAAAATTCTACAATATTAAACTGTGGCATTTACTGAAAAAAAAATCACTGAACTGTGTTCATCTGTGCACCAGAAGTTGATGGACCATCCTCTTGCTGTTCTTCCACACTCTGGGGAGAGATAAAAATACCTGTTTATACTTAGATTTAAACTTAGATTCTATAGGCTACTACACATAAAAAGGTGAAGAAATGTGAATGTGTAGATTGTTTGATAGACACATAATATTAATATTACCTCTGTAGGCATCTCTGTGGCAGCAGAAACTGTTTCTTCATCCCCATCATCCTGTGAAGATGAGCATTTGAGTACACTTTATAACACTATTTGTAATAATTTCTGGTGTATTGAGTAGGCTACTTACAACTGCCTGTGGTTCTGTTGGGACAGGAGGCTCCAAAAGACTAATTTTACCATCAGAATCTGTTGGGACCAACGAAAAACCCACCCCAAAGTAAAATAAATGGAAATATCACAAATAGCCTATATAAAAACACAACACATAGGTAGACCTCTTACATTTTATGAAGGCACTTAAATCTTCTGGAGTGACTGGCTCTGATGAAGTCCCTCCAGGAATTCCCTCAGCCATTGGCCTTCCAGCATTCAGGCTCAGGGCCATCTCCTCTGCATTTGTCAGAGGTGGTGGTGCAGGTCCTCCCCCCGTTTTGCGAGCCTCTGCCTTCTTTCTGTTGGCTGAGTAGTCAAATGAGAATGAACATTTAGACCCATGTCAAAAATGCTGCTGCACTGCTAGACACTGGATGCTATTTAGTTATTTATATGTCAAATGTTTATAAAGTCAGGTAGACTACAACCATGATATGTTCAAGCCTTACCTGATTGAATTATGTTTTTATATTTCATTTTCAGCTGCTGCCACGTTCTTTTAATGCCTGCAGGATTGCACCTACATGAAAATTAAAATTAGGTTGAATAACACACTGTTCTTCCAGTTTCACTTCTGATATTATAACAGTTGGGCAAGTCACTTATATTACGAACTACAACTGGCTTCTTCAACAGTGTAATTAGATTAATGTAATAATGACTATCTCTAGAAAGTATTGGTCTACTTATTACTAATTACTTTCTAAATCCCATATCAACCTCAACCACTTGAACAATACAAGGAGAGACAAGAAACTGCACTTTTAATGCTTTCAAATAAACATTACAATTGCATGAATTATTCTTGAAAAAATATATCTTTTAAAATTTGATGTTAAATCCACTATTGTTTTATACAGAATTGCTTTATAGTTTATGCAGCATTTAATGCAATTACATCAGATTTTACTTTAAATTACGGAATTAAATTACAGTTTTTAGATTACATAGAAATTAATTACACACAACACTGTATAACAGTAATTCAAATGTAAACTTACGCATTGACTCGAGCAGCTATCTTCTCCCAAGCTAACTCTCGGTCCTTCGCCGCTGCAGCCGTGTTGCTTTTTTTTAAAAATATATGTTCGTACTCTCCATATGCTTGCATAAGCACATCCAGTTCTGCTGGTGAAAAATATGAAGACCTCTTTTTGTCTGGCGCTGTTGCCATGGTGACTCGTAATATCTGCGCGCCATTGATAATGGCTTTTTATAGTTGTGGTGCACGCGCTTAACTCAGAGTAGGTCAACTCAGAGTTGATTGAACTAACTCATTTCAGCTGTTCTGTAACCGAAAACTCAAGAGTTTCCCATCTCAGGGTAAGTCAACTCAGAGTTCAAGTTTTAACTCAGAGTTGGTTGAACCTCCTTATTGAAACAGGCCCCTGGAGAAGAAAAGAGGAAGACGAGCGCAGAGCAGCAAACTATTTAGGATTTAAAGGATTTATAAATTCAGCTTTGCAGATATTTCCTGGTGAAGGAAAGACATTAAAAACGTGACTCAAAGATGCATTTTGGCAAGAAAAAACTTCACGTAAAAATCATAGTTCACCTTTAAAACAAATGCTGATAATCCATTGATTACACACAATATATCACACACACAAGACCATGTCAATGTGTTTTTGGTGAATGTCATCTTGAATGTTTAATCAAGACCAACTATATGTAAGCGAATAACCTTAAATATACCGTATAATACTGCATACGGTTCAATTTAAAATGATTAAATACACATTGCCTATTTGTCTGCATGCATGTACAGTATTTATTGTACATAATTCTGTTCAGCAGGTTTTTTGTTTTTAAAGACACTTGATACGCTGATGAAAATATACCATGCAAAAAAAAAAAAAATCGTTTCACATATTTGTCACAGTTGAAAAGATGAGTCCTTTTTTTGTCTGAACAATAAAATAAAAACATATAACAGAAGCACCCTGCATCATGCAGCTTAAATCTCACCAATCAGGTGAAGCCTTAAAAGTCTAAATGTAATAATGTAGGAAATGATCAGATTAAAAGTGACATGAAGAATCAAACCAGGAACCAAAGCTGAAGCTTCCTGCAGGACAACAACATATTTATTACTTTTTCTAAGTTGACCTTCAATATAAAAGATGTAATTAAAATATCTCCAAATGTGATGCTAAAAAAAGCTGCTTGTGTGTGATGCTTAGTAACATTTAATCATTGATTTTTAATCTCTCCAATGACACGTTTGTGTGGAGGAGAATCTTTCAGCATTAAAGCAGATCACATGAAATAAAACACAGAAAGCTTCAATAACGCTGCAAACTACCAGCAGAATTTGGGGATTTGGGAAAACCTTCCTCTTTAATTGTCAATCTTCTCCACCAATTCGTAGCCGGTCTACGGATCAGTCGGTTCAGCGTCAGACTGGACGGAGATGTTGGAGGAAGCTGGAGCGATTTTTTCTAATTCCTGCAGGATAAATCACATACGTAAGAAAAGGTTACTTGCTACTTCTTTGTAATTGAGCTATTTTCCACGTGGGGAATCATCTCCTGATGATTAACAGTCACTGATTTAATTACTTCTGTCTCTTTGTGTTAAAAATAATGAGTCTGTTTTTTCTAAAATGCATTAAACTGCTACAAAACACACATATGGTCTCTTTTCACAAAGAGTTCAGATGAATCTCTCGGGGTAGAAAGCACATCACACTGCAGCATGAGCCATAAATAAAGCAGCTAGAACTTTAACACCATGTAGAGTTGGTTCCTCTTTCACACTGTAAATGATACTTGTTCTGTGTCTCTGGACTTGTTCTCTGTGTAAAAGGAGCTTTTTAAAACAAGTAAGAAGCAGAAAACCATCGGCTCAGGAGGAAAGTGGCTAACTGGTGTGAGCCAACACGTGGAAGCAAAGGAGGGTCACGTGACCACGTAGTGGACGTCATGTGACTACCAACATGTGGCCTCATTTAAATCACATTGTTTCAGTATTTCAGACACCAGCGTGGGATTTGATCTCCACACAACGAGTTTTTAAGGTTTTGACATGTTGCTGTTGGGCGAAGTGGGAAAATGTGGATGACGGACTGAGACACAAACAAACAACACGTGCACAGCAGGAAGAAACACGGCTGAAGAGGACTAATGGCCACAAGAGACCCGGTTTGGATCCACGGATCATCAGGTTCCTCCCAGCGGATCTGAGCACAAGCAGCAGGTGTGTGCACGTAGCAGGTGTGTGCACGCAGCAGGTGTGTGCACGTAGCAGCACGAAGCCACCTGGAAAACACCTTTGATTCTAAAAACATTTCTTAAATTTGTTTAAAAGAAAATACAACGCTTACCTGAACAACTCGTGCCAGAGTATCTACCTCTTGCCGTCTTGAAGCTGCAGGTCAGTGGTAGAAGAAGAAGAAAAAAACCTTTAAAGATCTGAACTGTTGTACATTTACTTTACTTGAGCTGCAGATAAAGTGACTCCATCTTTTGGGTGGTGTCTAATTTACTCCATCCTCAAACAGAAGCACATGTTGACATGTTGGATTTGATGTGTTGGGATGTTTGTATCAAAACAGCAAATCATGACAATCCCAGTGAGATAAAAAGCACCTTTTGGTAAAATATCACATGTATATTTTAACAGACGTGTTTCCTGATCTGATGCAGTAAAAGACGTCCTGTGTTGTACAGATTGTTCAGCGCTCTGAGGCAAACTGTGATTTGTGATATTGGGCTATTTAACCAAACAGGTGGGTACATAGTTATGGAGGACTTGGAGACATTGAGTTTCTATGTAGAGGAAACAAAGAGGATTTTACAGATGTTGAGATTATTTGTTGGAACGTTTACTTGGACTTACGGATTCTTCTCCTTCGATCAATACAAAGCCAGACGGATAGAACCACAATTATGAGAATGAAAATGACAGTGAGAATGCAACTAGCCATCCCCCAGCCAGGGTGAGAGAGAGGATCTGTAAAACAAAACAAGAACCAGATCAGAAGAGTCTTCCTGGTTTAAATGACGCAGCACAGCTGAGAATGTGTCACATGTTCACAGCCTGATGTGCTTCTGACGGACTGAAGTTTGGATTGTGAAAACATCTTTGTAACGTGATCTATAGTAAGAAATCATTTAATTCCTCCAATTAAAGCAGAGAAATTAGTGATGACATTTATCGTCAATAATGGTTGAAACTATAAAGCCTCGTTTATGCTTCTGCGTTTTCAGAGCGACGCAGACCCCCTCGCGTGTCCCTTGTGTGTCTTTTCACACCTCCTTGCGTCCTTGCGTGTGTCGACCCATTTTTCTACGCTTGCGTCAAAAGCTACGCAGCCTCCCGCAGCGCAGCAGGCTGCGATTGGTCCGCTAACTACGTCCTTTAAGGAGTCTCACATTTACGCTTTCATAGCACAATACCAACATTATTAAAAAGAAGAATGTTTACGAGAGAAACGGATCAGATTGAAGAACTTTTGTTGGAAGAAATGCGTAAATGTGACCGCTTATATAAGCCGTCATTGGCGGGCTGTAGAGATCGCTGAGAGGAACAAAGTTGTGGAGGAAAATACGGGACAAATGTGTCCGCGATGAAAAGCAGCAGTGTGGATGCACGGGGCAATAAAGTCTATGATAAATAAATAAACAAACAAATAAATAGACGTGACTCTCTAAGTCGTCTTAAACAAAACCACATTACTCCACCTGTTGTTCTGGCGGTGAATTGCTCTGCAACACACGCAGGACTTTTAGATCATGCATTCATGAATTAAAACGAGTGCGTCGACGCAACGACGCAGAAGAATGCGCCGACCTTAAGGTGTGTTTTGTTAAAGGGGCAGAGGCTGCATTATTATCATGAAGTTGTCTCCTCTTTCTTACCAGTACTTGGGTAGCAATGTTGTTCAGCATTATTGAAGTCGTGGGTCCTGTGAACCTGGTTGTTATGGTTACAGATGATCACGTTGTTCAACACGTAGACCTGGAGAGAAGCCCCAGAGGTCGTGACCTCTGGTTGCTCTCCTCCCGTTTGGCTGCAGACTCGTTTAGAACATCTGAAAGTGCTGCTGATGTGAGCGTTGTGAGTCCTGCAGGTCACATGGAGGTCACATGACTCTGAGCTGCTGGAGTCCACTCGGTCCACGATCAGTTCAACTGGAGACGCTGGTCCTGAGGGGGGGGGAGGTTTCTGTGAAGAGTTTATGAAACATGGCGACAGAAACTATCAGTGAAATGTTTACAGACTCACCTTGAACTGTGACCTTGTATTCAGCTACTAGTTTGTCTTCTGTAGGTGTTCCTGCTACAGCAGAATAAACTCCACTGTCGACCTCTTGTACATTCTTCAATATCACAGAGAATTTATTCTCACCAAACTGAACCCTTCCAGTGAAACGTGGATCGACAGTTTGTTCTCCATTAAGTTGAATTCTTACTAAAGTGACTGTTTTATTGATTTTCCAGTCAACAAATAAAACCCCCTCAGGAGGATCAGCATGAAGCTTGAGGAGCAGATCACGTCCCTTCAGCACAAACACAGGAGTCACAATGGTTCCTGTAAAAACAGTAGACACATGATACAATAAACATCACACACAATATGTGATGAATCATTCACTGCTGAATGTTCCTCCATCACTACACTTTATTTATTACACATTGAACCAGCGGTTCACCTTCAGCTCATCACTGCTTAACATGAAGTGACAGAAGTCTCTTCAAATGTCTCACGTCGTCTCTTTCTGAGGACACAGAGAAGCTTAACAGCAGAAACTAAACCCACTGAGAGCAAGTTGCTGCTCAAAGTTCTTCTTCTTGACGTGACAAAGTATTTCCATTCTGTCTCTTTGTCCTCTTTCCCTCCGTCTCACCACACTAATGTCCCCCAGCATCAGCTACACTGAACATGGACGACTTTAGAAAATAAGACGTCCACAGACTGAACGCTGAAGGAGTTAAACTCTGAGAGGAGTAAAGGTCAACATTTGTCTTGGAGGGAAAGAAGCGTTCAGCCCGTTTCAACAAGTGGTGAGAAAGTGTCTAAAAGCACCTGAATGTTTCCTCTGAATCACACACGTCTTCTGTTGGGACACTTAGAATATTCACTGAAATAAGACAAGGACATTAAGGAATGAAAGAGAACTTAAGGAAGTATTTCCCTCGGAAGCTGAATGTGTTTACGTAAATTATGAGAAAATATTAAATAATCTTGTTAACTGGCTGAGAGCAATGATATTTCTCTACTAACATTTGCACAGTTCATCTTCAAACTTCTGATTCTTTATACTGAGACAACTTCCTGCCTCTGAGCTCAGAACAAGAAGAACAACACGAATCCTGATTAATCACAAAGAAACTGTTCAAAAATGGAGAAATAGTGCTGCGGTATAAAAGCTTTGACCCGAAATATATAAATCAAGTTCTCACCTTGTGCTTCACATGATGTGAGCAGAGAAGCAAAGAGAAGAACGACGCACGACCTCATTGTGCAGAATGGAAGCTGGACGATGAAACCAGGAAGTGAAGAACGTTTCACTTCCTGTTTCTCCGGTTTGACTCACGAGGAAACAAAAGGAAACAAAAAAAACAACACAAAAGAGTGAAAGAAAAGAGTTTTTATGGATCCAGATCCGCTTGAGGACGCTTCTCTGGCGGATTGTGCGTTGCGGATGAAGGGTGGAGGTGAACTAAAGGGTGGAGGTGAACTAAAGGGTGGAGGTGAACTAAAGGGTGGGGTCGCTTCTCTCGGAGGGTAAATGGAGGCGACCTGGGTGGAACCAGCTGGACTAGTTGGTTCAGATCAGATAACGAGAATAGAAGCAACGACTCCGTGAAGAGAAATAGAAACACGAGTTTCTCTCAATCAGCTGTGCGACAAAATGAGATAAGAAGCTGAAGGTGGAGGCCAGAGGAAGGTGGTGTTGAGGCAAAACACCGAAGCTGGTGGAGGATTATTTGAAGCAAAACGAGCAGAAAGTTCAAAACTAAGACATAAAGAAGAAAAAAATCATATCCGACTCAAAGTGTCGCTGGTCTTCTTTAGAGGAATCCAGGAGCGATTTGCAAGAAAACGAGTTTCGATCAAAAGTGAACAATGTTGCTACAAAATGTCCGGAGAAGTTAGTGGAAACGGGTCGATTCTTCTTCTTCTGCTTTTTCTTCTTCTTCTTCTTTTTCTTCTTCTTCTCTTCAGGTTTGAATCTTGTGTATTTGCACACCGCCACCTGCTGTCCGGAGTGCACATTCAGGGTCCACTGCTCAAATGCCGATTGTAAAATGTCGCACGTTCTAAAGTCCTGCGCAGTTTTGGTACATTTAGCATTATTATGTGAAAAAAGCGGCAATATTCTCCTGTGCCCCCCCGCATGACTTCAACGTGGACAGTATGTGGCCCCCTTCCTAAAATGAGTTTGACGCCCTGCTCTATAACAACAGCTGATTCATCCGGACTTGCCAGCTTGTGTTGCTGCGGCGTGAATTACCGTAAATATTGTAATGTTCAGTCGTCAAGTCTGACATACAGAGTGAACATTTAACATTTATATTTATATTTAACATTTATATTATTCAACAACTTTGTTGTGTTCTGACAAACATTATCCTTGGAAAAGTTATTGCATGAATTAACATGAATTTCTCTCTAAATGTTTGAAAAAGTGACATGTGAATATTGTCATGTTTTTTTTCATATAATAATGCTAAATGTACCAAAACTGGATTTTAGAACGTTCGACATTTTACAAACGGTGCCTCATAAAATGAACTACCGTTGCCCACTAGATCCTACGACTTGGTCCCGTCTCTTTTACAAACTGTATCAGTGGCCAAAACTTCCCTTTGTATGACTTTACATCTATGGATTTCTGTATGTTATCATAGTTCCTTCCTTTAGTTCCTTCACTGCCTCCCTTTACCAAATGGAATATTTAGTTTTTCCCGCCACATATGAACACAAACACTCTTTGGAGTCTCAGCATTAACAGCGATATTTCCAGCACCAAATCCTCTCAGGTCCTCTCTGATGGCCCCAAGATCATTGCCGTCATTTCAGCGCTGAAGACGGACAGTCTGTCATTAATTATTTTGCATATAGACCTATTGAATTCTGTTGTGAGAACCCACGTGCCCACTCCCATTGTTTTTAAATCCATCAGTGTATATTTGCAGGTATTTATAATACGTATTGTTGATGTACTCTTGAGTCTGATAGCCAATATCACACATTTTTCCCATTAATTTTTCCCTCTGTTCTATTAGTGTTAGATCCACATTGTTTGCTGGAAAAATCCACGGCGGAACATTTCCCCACGTTACATTGGGACTAAACTCATACCCATTTAATCCAAACTCTTTCACTACTGATCTGATACTCCAACAAAACCTTTTCCCACTAGTTTCACTCAATTTGGCGTAGCTCATTTTGATGGGCTTAGAGGCAACTCGTCCATCTCTACCAGGAGTGTGTTGTTTAGGGTAGATTTAATGCTTTGTTGCTTTGTTATTAGATATAATCAGATATAACATATTGAACTATTGAACAGCTACACGTTACACATAACAATTCGATTTTTGTCTTATTAAACCTACACACTCTGAACAATTATGGTCTAAAGCAGTCTATTGGTAGTTAGTTAACATAATACCAAACAAATCAACAATTATAGATACAAGCTAAGTGTAGGAGCCATTTATGTTGATTGTTGGCATGATATTTTGTTTGGATATATTTATATTAGTATTTTGGACACTAGGTGGCAGTGATTGGTTCCACATGGTTGTATATAAGGGGTATAGGTGACAGGAAGTGGGGGACACAGATAGGGGGAGCACACACAGTTCTCACCACACCACAGACCATAGATCATAGACCACGAATTGGAGTCCACAGATCAAAATCAACCGGTATCTGTTTATACTATTTACTGCAATAAAACCACAAATCTCAACTGCAATAATCGTTGGAAAGTCTTTGTGTGTCTGCGTAATAACTTCACTCCTACCTGTGCATGATGGCAAAGATACATTCGTTGGAAAGAAGGCTAAAGGTACAGCAAAGCAAAGATTTCCAGTACACTAATAATAAGGTGTATATGCTATTTTATTGAACAGGCAACTTCAATTCAAATCAAATAATGATGTGAGCGTCTCTGTCCAGTTGTCTGCAGGTTGTTGTGCAGCAGACTGCTGCCTGTGCAGAGCTGAGCGCCTGCTGCTGAAGTCACTCACAGTGCACTTTTGTCGCCATGCAGATGTTGTTTTTGTGTAATTTAGAGGGAAAACTGCGTTGATCAACAATTATAGGTTCAAGCTAATAATAATGCGGTCGGCGAAAGCGTTCTTAAGCATGCAGCCTATAGTGACTTTAAGACTCAGCTATTCAGACACAGCTTGAAAGTGAAGAGCTGGAGGATGAAGTGACAAAAACAAGCAGAGGCATACAAAGAATCCTTCCCCTCTTCTGTCTGGCAACGCCCCTGCGTGAAGGTATCCAGGAGATCACAGCCCCCTCCTCCGTACCGTGACTCAGAGCAACGAGGGAGGGGTCACCCCACATAGAGGCCCTCACACATTCCAATGTCTCCAATTTCTGTGTTAAAGCCATCGGGGCGAACGGAGGGAACATGTTCGGACGCGTTTTCTGCCATAAACAAAAATCACTGTCCAGTGCGCTGTGTCTTTTAGTCATTTTAATCCGTGCTCCAGATTTACGCCACAATTATTAATGTCCTTGTATCACATTACCTTTGTCGGTTACAAAAACCATAAGAAGTCGTTGACACCTGCAACACCGTCAAAAACCGTCTGCTTCCCATTCACACCTGTCCTCATTAGCAGACACTTAGGTATTGAGGAAGGGCCTAAGACGGAGAGAACGGACATGCGTTCCTGCAAGAACAGACTCAGGAGACGAACTCTGAAGTCCTGACTCATGGGTAGGGAACAACGGTCATTTCGGCAATTGGAACAGCAGCTGACTTGATGACGTCATCGTGTCACCACGTCAGCTAGTCTTGCTAATGCATTTTAACACAGTTCTTGACTTAAGTATTGCTATTATGAAGCTTTTGTTTTTCGTTTTCATTTAAAACTAGAAACTACAAAAACTAAAAATAGAAATGGTGTGTGTACATTATATATATATTAATTTTATGTGAAACCGGAAATGTGAGACTCCGGAAAGGATGTAGTTAGCAGACCAATAGCAGCCTTGAGGGCTGCAGGAGGCGTAGCTTTTGACCTTTGTCTGGAAAAATGGGTCGACGCACGCAAACACGCAAGGGGCTCTTGTGTCTATCTGAAAATGCAGAAGCATAAACTAGATTGATTTCACAGATACATATGGATTTCTATGGTAATGTGCCACCCTGTGTTCAAATGTAGGAACTCGGCTCCGTGGCTGTCTCAACCGGTCCGTGCCATGAGAGCCACCATGCGAGCGTCGGAAAGGAGATGGCGTAAATATAAACGACCTGACGACCTGCTTGAATTTCAATCTCTCCTCTCCTCGTTCTCTGCCTCTATCTCTGCTGCCAAAAGCTCTTTCTACCAGTCCAAAATCGAATCCTCATTCTCTAACCCCAAAAAACTCTTCTCGATCTTCTCCAATCTCCTCGAACCCCCTACCCCTCCTCCCCCCTCCACCCTTCTTCCGGGAGACTTTGTCAACTACTTCACCAAGAAAATAGCTGACATACGCTCCTCCTTCTCAAACCCACCACCTACTTCTCGCGTCCCACCGACCTCACCTCTTTCGCCCTCACTTCCCTCTTTCACCACCCTCTCTCCTAACCAAATTCTTACCCTAGTAACCTCTGCCCGTCCGACCACCTGCCCTCTTGACCCTATTCCATCACATCTTCTACAATCTATCGCACCTGACCTTCTTCCGTTCCTTACCTTTCTCATCAACAACGCTCTGTCATCTGGCTGTTTTCCCAATTCTCTGAAGGAGGCAAGAGTCAACCCTCTCCTGAAGAAACCCACCCTCAACCCTTCTGAAGAAAACAACTACAGACCGGTCTCTCTTCTTCCCTTCTTGTCCAAAACCCTTGAACGTGCTATCTTTAATCAACTCTCCTCTTATCTCCACTGTAACAACCTCCTTGACCCCCACCAGTCAGGTTTCAAGGCAGGCCACTCTACAGAGACTGCTCTCCTTGCTGTCTCTGAGCAACTCCACACTGCTAGAGCCGCCTCTCTCTCCTCTGTCCTCATCCTTCTGGACCTTTCTGCTGCATTTGACACGGTCAACCACCAGATCCTTATTTCCTCCCTTCAGGAACTTGGTGTCACAGGCTCTGCTCTCTCCCTTCTCTCGTCCTACCTCGATGGCCGCACCTACCGGGTAACCTGGCGAGGATCTGTGTCGAAACCGTGTCCTCTTACTACTGGAGTTCCTCAGGGTTCCGTGCTGGGTCCCCTCCTGTTTTCGCTTTACACCAACTCTCTTGGCGCTGTCATTCGCTCGCATGGCTTCTCTTACCACAGCTATGCCGATGACACCCAACTAATTCTCTCCTTCCCTCACTCAGACACCCAGGTGGCGGCTCGGATCTCTGCCTGTCTAACTGACATCTCTCAGTGGATGTCCGCCCACCATCTGAAAATCAACCCAGACAAGACTGAACTACTTCTCTTTCCCGGAAAAGACTCGCTTACCCAGGACCTGACAGTCAACTTTGGAAACTCTGTGCTAACGCCCACTTCGACTGCTAAGAACCTCGGCGTCACACTCGACAGCCAACTCTCCCTGACTCCCAACATCACTGCGACAACGCGATCCTGTAGATACACGCTCTACAACATCAGGAGAATACGTCCCCTTCTCACTCAGAAGGCAGCGCAGGTACTGATTCAGGCTCTTGTCATCTCCCGCCTGGACTACTGCAACTCCCTCCTGGCAGGTCTCCCTGCCACCGCCATTCGACTCTGCAGCTCATTCAGATGCAGCAGCTCGACTGG